GACCATTTGTTAATTTCCATGAATCAGGTAAATAATTTAAAAGACATGTACATCAATGCATATTAAAAACTTTCTAGCACATAACTTACTGGGGTAATAACTTTTCCTGCAAAAGAAGCAACTGTTGGACATTGCCAAAACTTACACTTAAAAGAAGCATTAGATGCAATGTACTGGAAACAATTAGCTGAATTAGACAACCCCATATTAAGGAGACTTTGCAGCATTTGATACACACAGAACTGCATATGTCACAGTCTATGATCCATAGATGCAACAGGTATAGATGCCAAGCAGCAATTGACTGATAAAGCAAAATAGGACAATCCAATTTTCTATTCCATTCCAGCTTAAAATCCTTTATGTAATATTTATTTACCAATAGCAACTATTTATAGATATGGATTATGAGTTACTTTGTCCGGCCAGCCTCACTAAATTTTTCCAGTAATGATGGAGACTCTGATTTTGTAAAAGTGGCCAGGCCAGGCCTAGAGACTAATAGGTGCTGTAGTTGCTTGTACAGTGGTACCTCGGCTCACAAACACCTCAGTTCATGACCAAATCGGGTTGTGAACAGAAATTTCAGAAATTTTTTTGCCTCAGGTCGCAAACTCCGCATTAGGTGACGACCACAATCATGCCCATCTTCCCTGCATGAGCGTGACCGCGATTGTACTCGGGGTGGGGGGAGATGGCCATGATCGTGCTTGGGGGCTGGGGGGAGAGGGCCGCAATCTTTGTTGTTCTTTGTCACTTTGCTTCAAATTTTTGTGATAAAAAAAATAGTTACAAAACAGATTAACCTTATTTACATTGAACCTTATGGGAAAATTTGACTTGGCTGTCAAGCAATTTGGGTCATGACCAGAGTTGTGGAACGAATTAAGTTTGTGAGCCAAGGTACCACTGTATTTTGATTAATTTTAAATGCAAATTTACCCCAACCTCCAAAACATACATACATCAATTAATATTGATAGAAACAATATTCATAAGGATGGATGTTACTGCATCAGTTCTAGGCTCTGACACTAAATTATATCAGTTAACCAAATGAGCAAGTGTATAATGTTCCTGTCTTCTGGCCCCGAAGCAGCAGTAACTACCCTGAGGGTGGAGCTAACTCTTTTTGGATGACAAGGGAGGACAGCAATTCAGTATGGAATCAACTTCATGGCATGAACAATTTTTCTCCTAATTATCTGGCTTCCTAACTCAACTGGTCTTTGCTAATGACCTCTGCAATGATCCTTTTGTGTCACTGGCTGTCCCCTTTTAACATAATACTGTATCAGAAGCCCTTTGTCTTGCCCTGCTTGGAAAGCAAAGAAAAAGTGGGAAAGACTGGCCTTCTGCAGTCCAGTGGTTCTTAGTTTTTAGATAAATGCTATAGTATAGATAAATCTGTTAACATAATGTTCTTTAATATTTACAAAAACATATGCTTTTTAAAATTATTTACCTGCAGTTTGCAACCCAGCCATACCTAGAAAGTCTTATTTGGCAGGATAAAAAATGACCACTCATCAGTAGCACCTACCAGTTGATTAAGGATAAATATTGCCTTATCTGCCATAAAAACATTTTCTTAACAAGGTCAATGCATCATGAGAAAAGAGATCAAAATTTAACCAACATGAAATTATGTGCCACTTATCTCTAACAGCAGAAACTGTGGAAGGAACCCTTCGTGTTCTTTTTGGCTGGAACCGAATGTCATCTCTTTAGAGAAAAGTACATCTTACGTTTTTCTTATACTATACTTTGAACTTTGTGAACTGCTATAGCACTTTGGCTAATGAGTATTATATAAATGAAATACATGAACTGAAATGACCATGCCAAGCACCCACCACTTCCTCCACCTGGTCCCACACAAAAGCTTTTCTCATTGTAAGGGTCTGAGCCCAGAAACAAGGACAGCTAGATTTCAGGGAAAGGGGGAATGGTTACAGCAGAAAACAACTCAGCACTACTTTCTGGCAGTGGCTTTTGGTGTTACATCATTTAAATAAATGTATCTATAGAGAGAGTCTACTATTGCTGTTGTTGTTACCATGGCTATTACTGTTATTATTTCCCTTTTCTTTTCAGGTTTGGTAGAGCTGAGTGTTTGAAGACATGGTTCTGCCACTGTTACAGGTAGTTCTGCCCACAGTTTCCACGAGAAAAAGACCATGTCATATCTGGCAATGCAATAGCACATACAATATTTCATCATGTATCTCATGTAAACTGTGGTGGTTGTTTACAAAACAGGATTCTGTGCCAAATGTGTTATGCATGAAAGGGAGTGACTGAGAGTTTAAACCTGTGTGATCTAAATTCAACTCTGGCATTATTTAGGTATGAGGGACAGTCTCCTTCCCTCCCACTACACACCCCTACCTGTATTTCAGATCATATGCGACGGTTACTCAGGAATATCTACATCTTTTGTTATTAGAGGGAGTATAGAAATGTAACCACAAAAATGCTCTTAAAATACACTGCTTATGTCCAAGAGCAGTCCTTTAAAACTTGGTTTTTATATCTTGTCTTCCAACTCTAAAATCTATTTCAACCTCTTACATTTTTCCCTTAATTTACCATCTCATGCTGAACACTTGGGGGACACACCTTTAATCCTTTCAGCAATTACTCAAATAGTCTGCATTCTTGTCCTATGGTACCCCTGGAAAATAAAGGCGGGATTTAATTTAGTTCCAGACCACATATTTTACTCTTTTTAAAAAAAACTGAGCACAACTTTGAAAATATCCTCAGAGGGTTTTTTTTAAGAAGAGCAAAATATGTAATCTGAAAATGGAGCTGAGCCCACAGTGGATGCTTTTAACTATCACATAGAGTCAGAAAGAACTATTACAATGGTCAGTGCAAAGAAAGAAAAAATGAGAACAGAAGAGGAAAAACAGGAGACTTTTTCTAGAAGATCCAAGAAATAAAATTCAAACCCACATTAGGAATGCTGAAAGACCAAGAAAGGAACATATAAGCTGAGCAGGATAAAATAAAGACAAGATGGAAACAATATATAGAAGAAAACATGAAAAAGAGATGACAAGAAGCTACTGTAAGGACAGAATATAGACAAAAGGCATCAGACAAGGGTGTGTTTTATCTTCCTGTCTTTCAGTCTGTGCACAGAGCTTAATTGGACTAAGCTCAGAAGAGGCAGGAGTAAAAATCAGCAGAAGATGCATCTGTAATTTAAGCTATGCAGACTATACCGGCAGAAAGGATCAATGAATTGAAAAGAATTCTGATGAAATTGAAAGAAGAAAGTGCAAAAACAGGACTGCAGCTGAACATTGAGAAAACAAAAATAATGACCACAGGAGAATTACCCAATTTTCATGTCAACAATTAAGAAATTGAAATTGTGAAAATTTTTGCATACATTGGTTCAATCAACAATTCAAAGGGAGCAATTCAAAGGAGACTGAGACTTGGCAGGGCAACAATGAAGAAATTAGAAAAGATCGAGTATAAAGATATTTCACTGGAGACCAAAACCAAGATCATCCACACTATATTGTATTTCCAGCTCACTACATGTAAGTGTGAAAGCTGAGCAATTAAGAAAGCTGACAAGAAAAAAACCTGATGTCTTCAAAATATGGTGCTTGGAGTGAGTTTTGAGAACAGAAAGAGAAATAAGTGGGTTCTAGATAAGATCAAACCAGAACTTTCTCTGGAATAAAAAAATGACAAAAGTGAGTCTGTCATACTTTGGATGCACCATAAGAAGGCAGGACTCACTGGAGACAACAATCATGCTAGGGAACGTGGAAGGCTGAAGAGGAGGAGGAGGAGGAGGAAGAAGACCAGCTATGAGATGGACTGATGCCATAAAGGAAGCCTCAGCCTGGAGTTTACAGGAGCTGAGCAGAGATGTCACGTACAGTACAGGACACTGTGGAGGGCATACATTCCTAGGGTTGCCATACCTTGGAGATGACTTGAGAGCATGTTGACTTGATGTCAACAACAAAGGAAGGAGGGAAGGAAGGAGAGAGAGAGAGAGAGAGAGAGAGAGAGAAGCATGCTAACAGTGGCTGGAGTACAACTAGGTAATTTCATAACCTGGGCTTAATGGTCTATGGGGTGGGCAACTTGCTGCCCCATGCCCTCATCACCTGCCACTGTCTGAATTGTGGGCTCCTGGCTTTACCCCCAAGGTCCAGCGCTAGCTGCACCACCAAACAACGGGGTCGAATGACAACGAAAGGCAAGAAACAGCCTGTGACAATTCAGGGGAAACACTGCTTGCAAAATAGGCACTGATAGCATTCAGAAGAGCAGCAATTGGGGAAAATCGTCTTTGAGATGCTGTAAGATTGTCCGTGGCTTTTCCTGCAACAAACTAACACAACTAGCCCGATGCAGTCTACCACCACCCTCGCCCAGCCACGGCGTACTGTATTTTTTATTTATAGTCTTTTTTGCTGCTCTTTTTTTCCTCCTGCGAGAAACCCAAGCCGGCTCCATTTTATCCTTGCAACAGCCTAGGAGTCAAAAGCCACCCCGAGAACTTCCAGATCTGAAGGGTGCCGGTCTGACACACTGGCCTCTTAAGAAGCGTGTCCTCCCTCGTGAGAGAACATCGATCTGTTCCCACGTGGCCTCCCGCCCTTTTCTTTGGCAATCCCTTCTTCCCTTGCGAATCTCTGCCCTTCTTGCCTGCCTGCTTGCCTGCGCTCATTCCCTATTATTTCCTTTCTCCCTTTCCGTCTCTCTTGTCTCTCTTAGCGCTTAGCTACTGGAAAGCGGCAGGACAAGGGCAAGACGGCTTCAGCCGCGGCACTGCGCATGCTCCCCGGCTTCCGGGCTCTCTTTCGGGCCACGCTCGCAGCCTGACGGACAGCTTCTCCCTCTCCTCTGACGCCAGCTCAGAGCGTGGCGGCGGCGCGCGCTCCCGGGCCCAGCCAGCTGTGGCCTCGCCGCGCGCTCCCGCCTGCACTGTTAGACGTGGCAGTTCACCGAGCGCTCCCAGGCGGGGAGGGGGGGGAGGGAGCGCGCGAGCGGGAGAGCGAGACTGGAGCCGGCTGTCTCGCTCCTCTCTGACAAGAGCCTGGACCGGCTTGGGACGGCGCGAGCCGCGGGGAGGCACACACGGCATACGCGCGCGCGCGCGCATCCGCACCCGGCGAGGGAGCGAACGGGACCGCGGTGCGCTGGCCAGGTAAAAGGGGAGCCAGTGGGACAGCCTTCGGCAGGCATGGGGGGGACAGAGAGGCTGTCCCCTTGGGGTGTGCAACCCAGGAGTGCCTTAGAGCAATTGCACTGGGGATAGCAGCATGTATGCTGGGGTCGCGGGGGGGGGGGGGCGCATCCCATAAAAGGGACTGGGAGTGCCCTGTGCGCATGGGGAAGGAGATCTGACTCAGGGCAGGAGGGTTCCAGTGTGCAGACTTCATCTCCCCTCGCAAGTTGGGTGCAAGGTATGAAGCTCTCCAAATGTAGCATCTGACCCGCCTGGAGAACCCTTGCCTATTCACCTGGTGAATGGCTCCACGTCTTCTCATCCATGGCCATGCCAGTGATCTGGATAATGGTGAGATTCACTTAAAAAACACAAGACTGTTCCAACTCAGTGTGTCCAGCCTTTCTTTTTTTAGAAAGTTGGATTCACTATTACAAAGACGACGTGTTTAATTAAACACCCACAGACGAAGTGTAAATATTTCCAAATTAGTAAGGCATTATAAAACCTTTATATGTGACTTGATGGAATAAACACAGGCCAATCCATGCCCTGTTTGGGCACCTGTGGGTTGATTATTTCTCTGGCTGGGGTGAAAGTGTGAAGTTGGCAAAGTTCTCTTACAATCATGATGGAACACCGCTCCAAAGAAAAATGGCATTTTGCCATGGACAGAAACCCTAAAGAGATTTGTGTTGGATGGCGGCTGGTGGTCATGTGTATAACTACAACAAAGGCACTTAAATCCAGGTAGCCTATGAACAGAAAAGGTTTTTCCATGGGTCTCTTTTGGCCTGCATGCCACAACCTTGGAAGCATTTGCCCATTTTTTATAGAATTTTGAATTGCCAGCTGCCACTCTTTTTGGCAAGGGCTCTAGAGAAAACATTGAAAATTCTGGTTACAGGAACATGAGAAAGGATTCGTGCATCTTTTTGACCATGCATCAAAATGTACACAGGGCCATATAGCATATCTTACCTGTTGGAAATAATTTCAGTAGCTGTTCGCCACATTATTGCCTGCTTTGCTTGTTATAGTCTTTTGGATGTGGTCATCTTGGTATCAGCTGTAGCACTGACCTTTCCTGTTACTTTAACCTTTTTGAACTGACTTTGCTGATGTCAGAACTTTCTTCCTGTTTGGTCAGCATCCTAGGATATGCAACACGTATGATTTAACTATTAATGGAAGCTCTTTTGGGTGTTTTATGGGAATACCCAGATGATGACGTGGTTCAGACATCACAGCTAAATCATGATTTTGATGTTAGGGCCATGTCTTGGGCTCACTAACTCCAGTTCTGTCCCTTACACTCTGGTTTGTAACAGTTATGGTTTACAGCAATGTCTGAATTGGGAAAGCTAATTCATTTCTGTTACTAAATCAGAATTAGAAATTATGAATTGAACTATGTTTGCAAAACTATTTTTGGCAAACTGCATTTAATAGTAATCATAATTTGCCCCATCTTGATATTGCAGCAAACAGGGATGATAGGGAAGAAATCAGGATGTGGACGAAAAGAGACTACAATGAGGGGCAAAAGGCTAGGAGAGCCAGGGAGAGTAGGGGATCAGAGCTACTTGATCAGCTCAGTTGGGAGACCATCATCTTGTCACCGCTCTTCTCCTTAAATGCTTTTCCAGTTCAGTTAAGAACTTTGTATCTAAGTGCCTGTGCTTGTGTGTTTGCTTTTCCTCTTCCCTCCCAATTCCTTTTCCTTTTGTATCATGACTTTCTAGATTATAAAAGAGATATTATGGATTTTCTTGATATGTAAAAAGTTGGGAAACTTCTTTTTGGCTAAAGAGTGTAGTAGCAATTCTTCAAATAAGAATAGATAAAGGAGGGAGAATTTAGCTCAGTACATGAGCCTAATGGCTAAAGTGTTTGTCCATGGTATTTCAAACCTGGCCAAGAGGTGACTAGATCTGTTTATGGATTGCAGTCCATCACTTCTTTCAGGAGTGCCTTTTGGGCCTGAAACAGTTCAATCACATGGGCATACTGGCAGGACTGAAATCCTTCTAACTTTAGAAGTGGTCCAAATGCAGGTGAAATGGTAGTCAGTGACTTTGAACTCACAGGAAAATTGTATAGGTGTATTTTTATTTTTTTTATTTAAAACTTTTATATGCCGTCACCACATGCCTCAGCATCTCAGGATGGCTCACAACAAAGGTGTAGAAAAGCATGACATCAGCAAAGATTTGTAACCCATTACAAACTCCCTACCATGGATACCTTATTAAAGGCATGTGTCTGCCTCAAGCAGCCGAACACCTAGGATGTGTTCTTAGAGCTATTTCTTTGTGCCTCTTCTGATTATATGACAGATAGATTAATTGCACTGGTGTCTAGTGTGTTTTGTAAAGAGGGTTTAATTTGCCTTTTGCTTTTCTTGACAGCAGAAATTCAGGGAGGGGTCTGTGAGATTATGATTAGCATTTATAACAGAATTGGAAGTAGTGTTCAGTCGTTACGCATTGTTTTGTTTTCATTGCAAGAATGTCTTGGTCACTCAGCCTTTTGGTTTGCATAGGAAGTCTGACGTGGCAAACTTTCTTTTCCTCCCACTGAGCTGTGCAGGAAGTTGTTTCACTTGCTTCAAGCACTGCTAAGAGCATTATCAATCCTTACAACAACCTTGAACACCATTCTTTATATTCATATTGAGATCTGCAATGTAGGCGCTTTACCGCTGACAGTTAAGTAAAGAGAGCAGAGCTCAAAGTGCCACGTGTCATTCGGTCCAGGAGGGAAAAAAACTTACTCTGCCACTGGGAGCAACCTGATGCCTGCAAGCCCTCTGTGTGGCAATTGCAGATGACAGCAAAGCTTGCACAAGGCTTGGTGCTGCGATTTTACAAACTAGCATGGAAAGAGATAAATATTGTAATTTTAGGCACTGAAGCTGTAGCTGCAGTCAGTGTACTCTCAAGCCAAGTCATACCTGCTTTTTGAGAAGGATTCCATACTCTTCCCCATGTCTGTCTTCACTCTGAAGAGCTGAAGATGCATAAAAGAAGTTCTTGAGCAGTTTCAGCCTTTGGATCCAACCTTGTAGACACTTACTTGGGAGTCAGCATCACTGAAATCTGTGGGACTTGCTTCTGAGTTAATATGCACAGGATCAATGATCAATGTGTTTGCAATGATCACTTTCAGTCACAGTAACTGCATGTTTCATCTCATTAACCTGTATGTGAGCTCAGTCACGGTTCACAGACCTGGATTCTGTGGGTCAACCATCCGCATTGGGCCTCGGAATTCTACCTTAGTTATGCAATTGGAAAAGGTACAAGTGGTACAGCATTTTGCAGGATTGTGAAGGAGAGATGATGTGTGACTATCCAGATGTTGTGACCCACACCACCTGTGAATCCTCACCACTGGCTATGCTGGGTCAGGCTTATTGAAATTATAGGTGAAAACTTCTCAAGGGCCTCAGGTTGCCTACGCCTTCTTTAAATGATGCAGTGCTTCGTGTTTTGACATTGAGTCAGATATGGAGGCATCCTCCGTGTATCATTGGCTCCCATGGAATATCTGATTTTGAGCCAGTTCTAATAACTGAGTATCATAGCTTCAGGAAACCCCTGTGCATTTTTGCTATAGTAGTAGCTGTTGTTACTAGAGCACCATCTAAGTACATGAAACGTTACAAAAAGCAGACATGACAGTTCCTCCACCCCAAGGGCTTCATATCTAGAACAGATGGAGAAAGAAGAGATAAAAGGAAGAAATGGAAGCATGGGTAATCAGGGGGAAAATACACGATTTTTTCTTTTATTATTTCAGTGCAGAAAGGACAAGCTTACAAGAAAAACAGGAAATGACCATATGGAGGCGTTCTGGGAAGCAGTACCAGGTGCATTGGGTAGCAAGGGGAATTGGGTCCAGGGATAGGGTCTTCTAAATGAATGAATCTCATCTGAACTGATGTGTCAGGATACAAGCACAGGACATACAGATGAGCAAGGCAGTTTTGCTGCTGACGGGATGTTTCCTCACTGCCTGTTCCACATACAGAAGCCAGCTGGTTGAGTGTCAGCTCCGACAAGGAGACGGCATCCTCCACTGCATCTGAGGGTAGGCTTAGAGAGTGCAGCCAAGGCACATGGTGCACATAGCACCATCCTCCAGCAGCTTGCGAGCATTTCCCACCCCTTGGCGTCTGCTGCCTGAGGCCGCCATCTTAATCCGCCTAATGGAAGAGCTTTGAGGGTGAGAACAAGGAACGAGAACAAGGAACAAGCAGGATCTGGGAGCAGGAGGGAAGCTGGTGGAGGGATTTAAGGAGATGAGCCCCATGGCCAGCACACTGAGGGGGAAATGATCTGAGCGGCAGACTGCTGAATGGCTTTGAGTGGATGAAGATAAGGCAATGCAAGAAGATGGGAGTCAGTACTGGATGCCTTTTAATAGCCACTTCATTGAGAGTAGTAACTCTCATGCATGGGATGATGCTTTATGGATTGGCTGGCATTATGCAGAGGGCCATATCGCATGATCGCTACTGACCACTGTGTCCTATTTAAGGTGCGGTGCGTTGAGATGTGTGTTGGTGGCCATTCTGGATATTCAGTCCCATGAGCTGTTTTAGAGTTGTGGGTGGTTTGTTAACCTTGATTAATGACTGATTTTAGAAGGTAACAGTTGCTTTCTTTTATTTCTTTTATCTGTTTGTAGTTTATTAATTATTTATTATTCCAATTTATTGTTATTGTCTATGGATTGATTTTATGTTGTTCTCCATTTTAATGTTGTAAGCTGTCCTGAGACATTGTTGTAAAGGACAGCATATAAATGTTTAAAATAAATAAATTAACCCAAATTCCCTGGATTTGAATGAAATCATTGAGTCAACCTGTGTAAGGAATTTCAGCATGCAAAGCTGTCCTCAGTGACTATGAAAGCTAACTTCATCAAAGAGCAAATTAAAAATCAGACCTAGAAAAAATAGAAAAGAAAAAATTAGAAGAAACTAACTTTGGACCTTTTAGTGTGGGTGTTTGTTTGCACAGGTGTATGTGAATGTAGCATTCAAGAAAACTATGAACAGGAACTGTCCCATTTTTATAATGTTTCTCTACAGCTGGGGTGGATAATTTGTGGTACTCCATATGTTGTGGGCTGCAGTTTCCACTGGAAGCAAAAATGACAAAATTAAAGCTGACATACTTTGAGTATATCATGAGAAAGCAAGACTCACTGGAAATGGCAATCATGTTCGGGAAAGTTGAAGATAGAAGAAGAGGAAGAAAACCAACAATGAGGTGGATTGTCTCCATAAAGCAGGGGTCCTCAAACTTTTTGACCAGGGGGCCAGTTGAAAGCTGCCGGTGCTGGGTGCGGGCCGGAAAGATGGTGCCTGGTCATGCGTGCGGGCCGGCGCAGGGGTGGAGGTAGCGCGTGCGGGCATGCGCACTGAGGCAGAGGTGGGGTGTGTGGCAAGGTGAGGCGAGGGGGGCGGGCACACACTGCGAGGCGGGCGCATGATGCAGCGGCTTGCTCGCTTGGAGATAGTTTTCTCAGAGTGAGCAAACTGTTGCCTCCCACGTATGGGGCGAGGTGGGTGGTGGTGGGTGCGCATGGGCGTGCGCAAGGCAGGCCCAAATGGGATAAATGGGCATGGTGGGCCGGCTCCGGCTCCCGGGCCATAGTTTGAGGACCCATGCCATAAAGGAAGCCACAGTCTTGAGTTTACAGGAACTGAAGAGGGCTGTGAAGGGCTCGACATTTTGGAGGATCCTCATTAGATTCATCAGGTCACCATAAGTTGGAGTTACACGTAACAGCAACAACAAGAGCAGCAAGCAGCTTCCTCAATTGTAGGTCAAAACCACTAGCCGGCATCAGTTTGTATACCTTAAACAAGGGTGTGTGTCTTATGGCCTTCAGATGTGGCAAGCATAGCTAATAATGAAGGATGATGGGAGTTGTAGGCCAAAATATCTAGAGGCTGCATGCTGGCTTATCATATGATGTAAGGAAAACCTTCTGGTTCAAACATGCCAGAATGTGCTGTTGTGACAAGAAAAGTGCAATCCAGAGAAACTTAGGCAAGCCTAATGGAACCTGTATCGCTAAGGATGTTTTCCATGCAACTGTGGAAATGTGTGGAAACCTGGATAAGCAGAATCTGACAGGTGGGGCTTCCCCCCTCCCAATTATTATCTGACAGATGATAAGAAACATTGCATGTCAAGAGCATATAGATGGTACAGGGTCGGTCTGTAACCATTTATAGGCATGTCTCATTTTTCCCTACAGTGTGCCCCAATTTAGGAAATGTGGCCATGCAACCAGATGGATGCTAGGGATAAAAGCTGGTTATGTTTGCACAAAGTAACAGTGACTCTATCTAAAATTAATACCATTCACCTCTCTTATCTGAATAAAAAGGGACTTGCATCAATGACTGTAATATAGAAGTTCTATGCAGTTTGCCAAGACCAAAGAAGACGTCTGATCATTGTTATGCAAAATAGCTAATTAAGAGTAAGCTTGGCTTCGTTACTTCTTCTGTGTCACAGTGTAGGAGGAGCATCTCCTCCTCAAGGCCATCATCAAAGACCCTCCTTGGCAAGGTGCCCTTGCTAAATGGACTTTTCAGTGGTAGCACCCTGGGTATTGATGCTCCTCCCTATGATGATGCTCATGGCAATCGTGCTTCTGAGTAAATTCCTTTATATTTTCTCAGGCATTTTAAGGAGGGTTTTGTTTTGGTGCTTTTAGATCTGTTCATTGTTTGCAGTCCTGGTTTCACATGGTTTTGGGTGAGGCAGTATTCTCACTCTTTCCTGCAGGTTTTCTCTTGGTTTTATTATGTCCTGTTTTTAGTCATTGTTTTATTATATTGTACAGTATCCAGACAATTTGGATTATTAGACATTTTAAAAATAGAATTAATGAATAATCAGTGGAGTTGCAGTGATTTAATGACTTTCTTTTTCAGATTTTTTTATGACAAGCTTTCCTTTAGAAAGAAAATATTGCTGAAATGAATCAGCAGGGCTATGTTGCAGCGCCTCCATATTCTCAATCCCAGCCAGGAATGGGAGGGTTTGCTACTGGCTTTGGACAACCTGCGCCTCCGCCTTTATATGGGCACTATGGTGATTCCAGCCCATCATCCTCTGCACCTCAGTCAGGTAGGGTGAGACTATATAGAACTTGATTCTCTATTGAACTGCTTTGTGTTCTATTGCCATTCATTTTCAGTGCACAATTATTGCTACTCCAATTCTACTTTTATTTTGCACAGCACTACTCATAGTACTACTCATAAAATAAGCTCCTAGCCTGAAATCAGCCATTGCGATGGGATGCAAATATCTTTTAAGAAATGATTACAGTGGATCATGTTATTTATTATACAGGAAGTGGCCAATGTCCATAAAAGTGTATGCCAGAATAAATACATTTGTTAGTCTTTAAGGTACCGCAAGACTCTTTGCTGTTTTTGCATATACTACATGTGTTTGATCTGTTATCCAGAAATTAATTCTGGCACAACATAAGGCTTCCTGAGGAATTCAGACTTTATTTTGAAGTTCTTTCCTCCTCTATTTCACAACTGCAAAGGATTACTTGAAAGAAATTGCTTATATGAGTCTTGTTAAGGTTCTTTCCTTAGTTTAGAGCTGCTGTAAATGTAAATGGCGTTGGATAATTTGGAATTGTCTCTTGTGGCAGTTCTTTAGAATTTTATTTGGCTTATCATGAAGAAGACTTCTTTATATGAGGGCTTCATGTTGCTGCTTTACTGAAGTTTCTTGTCACGTTTTCACTGTGGGAGTAAATGTGCATGGTCTTTTCCCCCAAAGTTTTGTATTTTTCTGCCTTTCTATACCACATTAGCCACCCATACGGTGGCACTGGTGGCGTGGATGCAGTATAGTAGATTTGCAACTATTTACAAGGTGTTTTTTGAACTTTAACCCCAGATTTTCCATGCCCTAAAAAACCCCTGGGAAAATGAGTCATACACTTGGGAGAGGACCTAAAGGAGGAGAATGTTATGAAAAGGCCTCACAAATGTCCATGATCACGACAAATGCTTCACGAAGAGAAGCTCTTAATCTCCTGCTGCACACGGGAATGGCTAAACATAAGCCTTCTCTGCAAAGATCGCTTGCAATATTATATGAATCAAAAACTCTTACCTTATCAAACAAGCCAGAGATACAAGCCAATTAAAAAAACAAGGTTTATAACTTTGGCATGTTTGTGGAAGAAACAGGCTGGAGTTCTGGGTGTGCGTGTAAGCAAATCAAGATCCATGTTATACCTGATTCTACCTGCAGCGGAAGTGCTTGGTAAGTGTGCACCAGCAGGCCTCTTTCACAACACTTGCTCATTTGGCCAATGTGCACCCCTTTAATGTAATGGCTCTTCATTGCCATCTTCTCCGTTCATTTCGCTTTCAGCTATGTTGAAAACAAACGTGCCTTTTGGGTCTCCTGCTCCAATTGGATCTCCACCTCACAATACCCACCAGTTTAACCAGCACAGTCTCCAGAATGGGCCTAGCAGTACAGCACATCAGCCGCAAAGGTATTTTTTCAATTGCTAATTGCAGATATATTCTTTATGTTAACTTTATTTTTATCTGGTTTTTTAAGAATGGAAAAGTATAGTACATATAGCACTAACAATTTTTTGTAATAACATTGTTATACTAAAAGTATGATAATTAGTATGACTGAGATAATGGATAATATTTTATCTCTGTTGTTTTTTTTTATGAAATGTAGGCTGTAGTGCACTTTATATCCTGTTCTTATATCCTGGTGAATACAAATGACTGTTGGAGTTGACTTACAGTGAGATTCTAAACAGTCTGACAATCATAGAAAAATAGTTCCCATTCTTAATGTACATGGATTCTTTGAAGACATTTTAAAAATGGTCTATAAATATAGTTGTGCCTGTTTTTATTAAGTATTAACTAAGCCCATTACTTAACAATAAACCTTCTAGTATATGGTACATTGTATCCTTTTCCACCAAAAGTTGAAAGCAAACAAGAATTTGTAAACTCTGTAACTACTTTTTACAATGTTAACTCTTTTTTATAAACATTTTTTGCTTTTTTTGTTTGCTAAATGTGTTTTAAAACCTACCGAAAGGAAAATGCAAAAGCAGGGATGTCCAGAATACTTAATGTAGTTTAAAGCTCTTATTGCCAGTAGCTAAGTAGTAGTGGAAGCTTTTCAACTTGAGTTCCTTGCTGAAGGAAGAAAGGTAGAATACCAGTGCAATGGAAGGAGGAGGAAAGCCAAGAAACTATCAAACAGCCAGTAGCTGGGAGAAAGGGAGTGGGGCATCTGTATAGCTCCATAAGGTTGGATTTGACCCTTAAAAGGTTTGGATTTGGTCTGCTTTCCAGAAGTTCTCTGCCCCATCCCTAGTTTCCTGTTCTTAAACATTTATTTGGTAGCTTATTTTATAGGTAATATTCTTTTAGACAAATGCAGTACTTACTTGAGTGCTGTTCTCTGGAATACCTATTAAGAAATGTCTTTATAAATCAGATTAATCAAGGGGAGAAGTCTGATTTTTTTTTCATTACTGAATCAAGCAATTATTTAGATTAGAGTCCAAGAGCTAATCTGATCCATATGGAGCATATTCTACAGGCAGAGAATAACCTTTGACCCACATGCCTGATTTAAAAGATCAAAGAGGAAGATGAGATTTAATCCTATTTTAGTTCTCTTAGTTTTTTCTGTGCCATCATCTGAGTAAGCCAGGCAGGAATTAGAGGTGGTATATTTTATGGAAAGTGCAGGGTTTTTATGAATGTCTTAGTGAATACCTTGGGTTGTCCGTGTTGGAAAAGGACAAACTATCTCACTCTTAGTAAATCAAGACAATTGTGTGTGTGTGTGAGTAGGTTGATCATATGCATATGACTTTGTCTTCCATCATTAACAGCATAATCTTATGTTCTTTTAGACAGAAAAACTTCCTATAACTCCCCACATTCCCCAGCCAATGTAGCTAGAAATGTGGGAAGTGGTAGGTCTTTTTTCCTCACTAAACATGCATAGATTTGTATCCTAAGCCACTTTTAGACTTTATGGAACACTCTTTCAAAAAGAAATGTCATTCTCTATTAACTTGATTATCTCTTTTATTTTGTCTCGTGGTTTACCTGAAGACAGAAGGTCTAAGCATTTAGTGACCTTTGCTAGAACATAGTTGGCAAAATGAATAGAAAGAAAAGATATGTCATTTTAGGCTGCAATCCTAATCACATTTATTAGGAAGCCCTATATCCAGAACAAGCCTATTTATACTTACCCAGCAGCACCTCATGCTCCTGTGTTGGACTTACTTCTGAATACCGTATATATCGGCATACAAGGTGGCTCTCATATAAGATGAGGTCAATATTGTGGGCTGTTTTTATGATGTTTGTAATATGTTGGGTGTGTAAGATGACCCCCTATATCAGGAGTCCTCTTATACACTGGTATATAAGTATATCTTTAGAAAAAATGGAAATATCTTTAGGAAGAAACCACAAATATCTCTAGAAAAATCCCATACATATCTCTAGAGTCTTTGTGTTCCCTGAGAGACCAAACATGTGAGTGAGGCTGGCTAGTGCCAAGAGAAAGAGCACGGTCTCCCCAGAGTCCCTAGAGATATTTGTGGTTTTTCCACTTTTGTGGGAATCCTGCAGTTTCAAGTATCTGCAGGGGGCTTTAGAACTTAATCCCCACAGATATGGGGGTCCTACTGTATGATGAAAATTTTTCACCTGGCATATATGATGACCTCCCAAATTTGTGCCTTGCTATTTCTGCTTTCAGGGTTCATCTTACATGCCATCTTATACTATATACATTCTGGTGCATGTTAGAAACAGTCACAAGAGAAAGATAAGAGTGAATATGAAGTATATGTTTGGGTCAGTTGTAGTCTAACCTGCCTCCCAGGGTTATTGTTGTGAGGACAACATGGAGAGGAAAAGAACCACTTAAGCCACCTTGGGTTCCTTGCAACAAAAAGAAGGGCAGGGTATAAATGCAAGATGATGATGATGTGTGAAAGCTGCTTGTACATGAGTGAAGCTTGCTGTCTGCACACACAACTCCCTGATTGATTTCTTGGAGTTTGCAGGCTTCATTCTTGTAGACCTTGACTTTTAAGCACTGCCTGTCAAGACTACCCTAGATTGTGATTCCTGAGATTGTATAATGCTACTTTGTTTCACCAGGTTCCCAACTTCTCCACCTTCTTATCCCCCTTACTGTCATCCGTCACAGTCCTCCTATCCAAATAGCCCACCGTCTTCCTCTACAGGACAGCTGGCTAATCAACTTGGCAATATGCAGATAAATAGTTACGGTAAGACTTGCATGGTCATCCAAAAAGGCTATGGGGAGAGCATATTATTTCTCTTCATTGGGTCACATCCAAACACTTCTTAGGGTAGAAATAGAAAATGAATTCACTAATAAAATAGCTGACTGAAAACTGTGCAAAAAGGTTAGTCGTGACAAAATTAAGTCTCGTTGATTCCAGCAGAGCCAAACCCTTGAATAGAACTCCTGCAAGTGGGCTTTTGCTCACGGAGCAAGTCTTTCCCATGGCATCTTGGCAGCTCTCCACCTCTGCCTGCAGCTGGGGGTTGAGGTTTGCCATAATGTGGGATGTGGAGTGGCATCAGGGGGCAGCTTTAGTAGGAAGGGGAAATGGGCAAAAATACAAGATCCTTCCAAGGAGATTAGAAGTAAATATTCTTGTAGTAAGAACTGCACTTAACAAACATGTATGGCTTTTCTGCATAGGACACTGTTGTGCATTTATCATTCCCTTCTCACCTTAGGGAATGTTGTGATCCTTGAGTTTTGCTTCTGTGTCTAATGAGCACTTTCAGTCAGTAGTTGTAGAGCAAGGGAAATGCAACATGTAATAGTGAAAGCAAAATAAAATGCAATTTCCTCTAGTATTTGTACTATTCTTCAATATCACAGTGCCATCAAGAGGATGTGTAGCAGCAAAACAGGAAAGGAAACATTCTTTGTGTAGTACTCAGATCTGTTTTATAACGAAACCAAAAGTAGATATAGCCAGTAAACAGCCTCATGTAGAAAAGATCGAAGTGTCCTGGGACTACAATTGAAGAGTAGTATTAAATGTCATGAATAAATACATGTGAGAATCATGGGTTCATGAATCTGTTTTTCATGCTCAATTCAACACGAGTTGACTTTTTGCAGTGGCAGGTGCAATGGATCATGCCTTGACAACTGTCAGAAAACTAGGCTGAGCTGCCATGAAGCATAGCTGAATGAGCTTCTTAGTGTAAGAAAGCTAAAACTGGCAGGTCAAATATCAGTGCAAGATTTTGGTAGGGTATTTTGGACCCTAATGGAACAACTCCAAAGTGTGCTGGGTTCCTTCGGATGTTGGTATTTTTTTTCTTATTAAAGGGATATCTTTTTTAAAAGGTTCATGGCCTAGAAAATATTCTTCAATATCTTTTTAGAGCACTTTGCACAAGATTTCTAAAGCAAATTATTAGATAAAACATTCCTGTCTATTTCATTAAAAAAACCCTTATGGAAATAATGGTGTTCATTAAACACTTCTTTGTGAATTTAACTTTTCCATTTGAAAAGTACTTTTGACTTTTTCAAGAATATAGGCATTGCTGTACAATCTCTTTGAATAGCATACATGCTGAATGGATCAATCTTTCCTATGTATTTCATTGAAGAGTACTTTGAAATTCAATGCCAGTGTACTCAAAGGTGCTCACTTGTCTGAAATGAAATCTTTTGAGGCTCCATATGGGCCTTGTACACCTTGCACACTCAAGGGATCACTGGCTTCAGTATGAGAGTTGATATAATTCACCGTACTCCAAATCATTTATACAACCAATTTAAAGTATAAGTAAAAATGAGAAGAATTGTTGATTTATTCTAGTAGAATGCTAAATGGTCAAATTTCATTTTGTGGTAGCATAGGAATAGAAATTTAAAATGTCTGTCATTTGAATAATCAATTGTCATAGGTTGAAATTGCACAGCACAATAACCCTCATCCAAGGGTTGGGTTGACTATGGGCTGGGCATGGGTAGTGTAAGGGTTATTGTGCTGTCTGAACCCAATCAGAGTGTTTCAGGACTTGGATGAAGAGCTCTTTTTAATATAAAGTATATTTGAGGATGAAAGTATGACAATAAATGTTCAAAGTTACTTGGAGACTGTTTAGTATTATTTTAAATGTAAGGAAAGATTTTAATATAATTGTAGGTAATCTGGTGCCTCCTTGATATTTTGGACTAAAATCCCCAGAAACGCCTGCCAGCATGGCCAAAGATTAGTGACGAAAGGAACTGTAATTCAAAACATCTGGAGGGCACTAGGCTGTATACCTTAATGGGTTTATTTCAGTGGGGCTTTACTAAGCAAATCCAACCCATTATAATTTTAAAGTGAATGTCAATGAGCATTAGCAGCAGCAGCAGCAGTAACACAAATGTTGCATGATATTCAGTTTGCTGTTTTAGGGTGTTTCTGGTACAGGGGTAATAATGATGTGCTTCTGCAGGTTCCAGCAATGCCCCGAACACGCCACCTTGCTTGCCTTCTGGCCCCCCACCTTCTTTGCATGGTCCACCACCTCAAGCACATCAGATGGCCTTGTCATCCGGACCGCAGATTCCTCCTTCTCCAGCAAGTCCCTGCCCTCCACCTTCACTCCCTCCAGTGGCCAGGCAAGAGGGAGTTCCTGGGACACATCCACTGACCACCGGCCTGCCACAGCAACCCTCAAGTGAACCCACAAGGCCTGGGTTTCCTCCCCAGTATGGTAAGTGTGGCCACCTAGCTTAACACAAGGTTGCCAGGGCGCCACTCCTGGTTTTGAGCCCTGTGAAGAGAAGTTCCATCAGGAGAAGCAGCTGGTCCCGTGATTTGCTTTATTCTGGCCACGGTGTCTTTTCTACTGTCTCTCCCTTATGAATATTGCTTTTTAAGATGTAGACACAGAGACACATATGCAGCAGGGAGGGAAAGCAATTTTGAGAAGAAAATTACCAGGTAGGACGTGATTAATTGATTGATTGATTACACATCTATAATGCCAATTAGTGAAAGCTCTCTGCACTGTTTACAAGACAAAGCTTAAAATCATAAAATACAACAACACAGTAAAACAGAAAACAGAATAACCAAGATAAAATCCAGTACAAAGATCTAAAAATCATGTTTTCCCTCTGCTTTTCCTCTACTCTTGATTGTAGCTCACAATGGCTGCTGCTTCTTTTTTAAAGAAAGGGAAAATGGGGTAAAATTATATGGAACTCTTGAGTAACATGTAGTTTGTCCCTGAGGCTTTAGAGGTTGCTTTGGCCCCTGATGAAAATGATCTGTCTGACAGTCATTTTGGAGTATAGTAGGAATGTTAAACCAAAACCACTTGCCAAGTTTTCAAAGTGTTCTGCGTACTGCTAATTCTATTACTTGGTCTTTGTGTAACAGTAAGCCTGCAAATATCTAATCCCTCATGAAGATTAGATTTATCTCTTCCACATAAGCATGTCCTTATTAATAACGAACACCTGTATCTTTCTTCAGTAGGTCCCTTGCTGCTTAGTCCAATATTAACCAGAGCAGGCTTGGAGAAGCCAAAAGCTGATAATATATAAATGCTTGGGGTAGAGATATCCAATGAATGCAATGGAAGCACAAGAACCTTTAGACTGTAACGCCTTAAAAATCAGAAAAGGTTTTGGAATTAGCTATTGCTCCAAATAGGTGTTTGACTGGATCAAGACTGCACTGTCCAGGGTTCATGTTCGGCTTTGAATATTACGCTAGATTTGTAACAAATTGCAATAACAATGACAAAAGAACAATAAGAGGCAACCAAATGGAGTAGGAAGCATGTTGGAGTAGGATATGGGAGGCCTAAGTTTAAATTCCCTCTCAACTCCGAAGTTCTCTAAGTGATTGTGAGCCTGTCATCATCTCTGAAAAAACAGGAAAGGTAGGATTAAAGCAACATATCACAGCACAAGAGACAGGTATATGTAGGAACAGAGCAATGTGACACTGGATTATCATAATCTTGCTGCCTCAATTTTATTTGCAAGCTTAAATGAAACTCTTGAATGACTCAATGGAATGCTGGCTGGAAGAATTTTCCAATCAGGATCTTCCCTCTTTTCCATATTGCCCCATGAAATTACACCAATGAATATCTATTCACATCTATCCGCTTGTATAAGAAGGGAAAGATCCAGGTTTTAGTTGCTTGAAGATGTAAAACAGGCAGTGGGGCACTAGATCCTTCCATAAAAATGACTCTTTCCATACAAAAGTAAGATAAGATCCATTCCCACAGGAATGCAGTACGATGGGGAGTAAACTTAAGTCTCTGAATGGAAGACATTGTAAGACAAGCATTAATTCTGAGCGGCTTTGACAGGTGCTGCTTTTATCTCCTCTTTTTTCAGGAACCTATGGCCCTCCAATGGCAGGAGCACAGCTGTCCTACCCAGGTGGCCTCCCCTCGGGTCCAGCCCAGTTGGCTGGACCACAACAGAGGAAACTCGATCCTGATTCCATTCCAAGCCCAGTGAGTAGGAATTTCCTTTAGAACCACTGCTGCAAATGGGGACCCTCCAGATCTTTTAGACTACACTTCCCACCATCCCTGGCTGATAATCATGAGGGCTGCTTTAGCATATGTGGATGAACTGCCAGAGTGAGAGGAAAGAATGAGTTAGGAGTTATTCCACCTTCAAATAATATTTATTTATTATGTTTTAATACTACCTAATAGCTGAAGCTATCTAGATGATTCACAAAAGTTAAAAATATAGAATGCAACAATATGATAAGAAGTTGAATACAAAGCTTAAAATGCATGGGATATAGTGATTAGCCTAGTGTTTAAAGGCGTTGGGCAGAATCAACGGAACGCTCATGCCCCTGCCAGCTTTCTTCTACCCTACTACCCTACTAATTCCATTATGCAGGTAAGCAACACTTCATGTGCAACAATGATTTAGTATTTCTGAGGCAACCAGAAACAAGGATAAATTGTTTCTGGAAGGACACAGGGTTGTAGAGATCATGTAGGGATGCTCCACTTACCTGACTCCTGTCAGAAATGAGCATTTCCATTCATTTCAGGCTTCCCCGGGATGCATTTAAATCTGGTATTGTGATTTAATCTCCTTCATGTAAGTGGTGAACCCCACTTATACAATAGAACTTGCAGAACCCACTGCAGGTAGAAGGGACTTGGTGGGGTGGATAGGAATCATTGGGGTGTATGCACCCCACTAGATTCTAGATTCTAGTATGAAATGCAATAGTTCAGTGGATTTGTAGCCAATTCCTCAAAATTAAAATTCTGTTATTTTGATTATATTGTGTACCTGGAGGAATTATAGCAGTTTAAAATAATGTAGCTTAAATAAACACCATCTATATCTTAGTGAATGAAAAGAGTTCAGTGGCATCTTTCAAATATGTAGGCATATTGGTCTGTTTTCTGAAAAGAAAATTACTCATCTGATGCTTAATTACAAACAAAGTTTTTGTAGGTAAGGATGTACTTCACCAAAAAATGTTAGTGTACTGAAAATCTTATTTCACTGTTCCAGTATCACAATGCATGCTCTGAACTGGACTTGTTTTCAAAGTTGCATGGGTGGGGTTGTTCAAACAAGCATAAACCAGAATCCATCTGTCTGACTACACACTGGACTGATTTGGATATCTTGACTGATGTGGACTGTATCATGTGCACCACTCTTCTCTCATGTGTCTGTGTGGAGAACTTTGGAAACTCTTACTTCCATTTTAGATTACGGATTTCTGTGTCATCTGCACTTGATAAACTGTGGTTAATCTTAACCCCACTTAATTTCAAACAAACTAGCTTTGAATAATGGTTGTCAAATCTGGTATATCCATAGTTAAGATTAAACACAGTTCCAGGTCCAAACAACACACTGTATTAAACTATGACTAATTAAAAATAGGAGTAGATTCTTTTCCTTTCCCTTTCCCTAAAAATTACACTCTGTCAGATATACAGATTTCATCATTTTGGGTTCTCCACTAAAGAATCTTAGGTGCTTTGAGCTGGACATTCCAGGCAGATTTCAGTAAGTTCCTATATTTTATACACAGGAATTAGAAGTTTTCCTCATTCAGCTGTCCCTCTGAACCAAGGATTGCTGCAATGTGTTTAATGAAAATAATAATTAAAAAGTATTGCTTGTTTCCATTTCTGACAATATATATTCTTTATCCATAAGATTCAGGTAATCGAAGATGACAAAACTTCCAGAGCAGGTCATGTATATGCTACTAACATCAGAGGGCAAGTTCCTCCTCTGGTTACTACAGATTGTGTCATCCAAGATCAAGGTAAATGTCTATCCATCTGTGAAGGAACAGACCTGTCCTTCATTTCTGTTCCTTTAGTTTGTTGTAAGAGTGTTTGTATATGCTAGCTGATTCCAGGCAAGGAGTTAAGAGCTGAGAGATCCAAGTTTAGTCAGAATGCAGGGGTAGATGTTTTGCTCAGGAAGCAGGAGAATATAAAGTTCAAGAGAAGGTCAGAATAGAAAATTAAAAGAGAAAAATGTTTTAACTTGTAAACAGGGATTTAATTTACAAAATAGAACAAGAAACTATGCTCCTGGAGAATAATTTAGAGATAGAGAGACTCCCCTCTCTCTAATTTTAGACAAAAGTTAGAGAGTGATAGAGAAGGAGGTGGGGAGGGAGAAAGAGGGAAGCCTGGAACTAGAGAACTGATTGAGAGACCTAGACCAGCTATTATTGCACAGCGGGCCTGGATAAAATAATGACATGTTTTGCTTAAGTTTACTACATGTGCTTATCTCTAGTTGTTTTATTAACCTCTGGCTCATAGAGGTTTTTATGTGGTATGTGCATGCATCCATTCAGATTTTAAAACTTTTTTCTACTAACATTTGCTTTCAGTAAAACGTAAAACTTTGTTATTGAAATGATGTGCACTTTTCCTTTTGTTATCCATTCCACGGCTAATAGCCAGACCACACAGTATTTAATAAGTAATGTAAAGCTGGTTTGGTGAAGATACCCAGCCAATGAGTGGGTGTGCTCATGGCACCCCATCATGGTAAATCACCAGAATGGATTTCTGTTAAGTACAAAACATCCAATGACTGAGCTCTGTGGTGGCTTTGCTACCTCCTCTTTCCTCCTCCTCTCTCGTTCCTTCTGGAGATATCCCAGAGGACACTGCAGTGAAGAATGAAACTCTTCTCTTTGACAGCAGCAATTGCAGGCCAATTTTGTTTGTCAAAGAGCCTCCACTGTATAAGAAATCCTAAATGCTCATGCCCTGAAGTGCAATTGGAAGGATGGGGAACTGACCAGAAACTCTGCCTTTAGCTCCAGAGGAGCCAAAAATATGATGGGGACCCTTTGAGAAGCCTTCTCACATGAAAGCTTCTCCTCTTCTTCATTTAACAAAAAACGTTATGTAAAGAACTATTTTCTCTCAGCTCTGATTTATTAAACATTGGGTGTTTTATTGCCAGGTAATGCCAGTCCCCGATACATTCGCTGCACCACCTATTGCTTTCCTTCATCTTCAGACCTGGCAAAACAGGCTCAGATTCCTTTAGCTGCTATCATCAAACCTTTTGCCAATGTTCTACCAAATGAGGTAAGAGGAGAAACCTGAAGATCTGAGAAGAAACAGTTTGCTTACAAGTTGAAACTTTTAGTGACATGAATGCAAATTTTACCATATTAATTGCTCCTTCATTTGGAGAATAACCATCCCTTGATAATAAAGCAGAATCCAAAGGGTTACAAGGTAGGATCCATGAAATCAGGCCTATTGTCTCAGAATTCATTGGCTCATTAAGAAGGATCAAAAAGGAGATTTGGGTTTCCCATAGCCTCCACCTCGTATCATAATAGTATTCTTACAATGGAGTTGTAAAGAAAATTCATCATTAGACATTACATGGGACCATTCCCTTTTCAGCATCTTGTTTTCAAAGCCCTGAGCAAATTTTTGGGTCTTAAGGTGGTGCTATAGCTTTGGCTCAGCCAGACATAGCAGAAAACAATAATTTCCTACTATTAAAAGAGGTCTGCATGAGCAGTTTGACCTGGCTTGTTCCCTTTAACTATACTTTAAACAAACCACTGTTTCCTGGTTTCAGTCCTCATGGGGAACTATAGCCTAGTTCAAGGCCAAAAGTGGATGCTTTCAGTCTCATCTTGTGCCTTGTGAAAGAGAGGAAAGTGGGCAGGTAAGCCCAAGGCTCATGCAGGCCATTCTAGTAAGAACATTTATTGCACATTTATTATACATAAACATACCCATATAGATTTTTTGCTGTATTGATCGCAGTGGAGGGTGCTTTAGCTCCACTAAAAGAAAGATAGTCCTGTGCGTTAGACCTTCCACACCCACAAAACTCCTCTTTCATTTGTTGATGGTCAACTTCTTATGGGATCCATTTTGAAGCACATGAGGATTTTGAAGATCCTTTTGAATAGGGTAAAGATAATTGCTGCTTAAACGTTTATTGAGAGCTTGCTGCCTGTTGATTTATATTTCAGCATGCTGATTCCTTCTTTTTTCTGACAACACAGTTTCTTTTCATTTCCTCTGTCACAATAGGGATGATCTATGGAAAGTATTTAGAGAGTTGTGGGTTTTTTTTTTTAAAGAATTGTTTGACAGAATTTATTTTTAGCAGACCACTGCTTTAGCAACGGGATATAAAACAAAAGCTAACAGCTATCATGCTAGGCCAGGCACTCCACAAATTGGTTTTGGAGATTAATGGATATGTGCCAGGCGTAGATAAACCAGATGATCTTTGTTTTACATTTTAATGCTGCTGACTATTAATATTATCTTTTCTGAAGATAGTATTTTACAATTTGGAAGATTAATGAAGTGTGTGTGTGTGTGCCTGCAGTATCTAAAGAGAATCAGGAAATTTAGAAGTATTCTATAATTAATTAATACATTAAAATTAATTAAGAAGTTAATTAATACATCTTGATTGGGCTCACATGATATGATAGCCTATCATGGGTTGCTACCCCTGATGGGTGACCATGTTATGAGAACCTGGACTGATTTTGCAGGGGTGACTTGTTCATAAGCAACAAGCCACCCTGATGGCCCATGGGTTGTTGTACCCACAACAGGTTGTTCTGTCATCTGAACCCAGGCAACCAAACCCATTGTAGATATGGGAAATTAGCTACAGAGCTGCTTGTCAAGAGCAGCAAAAGATTCTAGCCACTCTTCCCAAGCTGCTTCTTGAGCAGTACCTGAGTAGCTGTCGGAACATTTTAACACAAACACACATACACAGAAAAACATTACAAAAGTTAACTATACTGCAAGCCCTGTAGAACTGGGAGGATGTTTTCTATCAAAATGTTGCAGGTATCAATGCTGGCCATTTCCTAGAAGAGGTTCCAGTGTGTCCCCACTGCCTACACGCAAACACTGGTTTCTTGTGACCGCTGACCAAAGATGAATTGTCAAGAGAAACCAAAGATGTGAGTGATCTTTGGCTGTGAAAAGGAGGCAGTGTAATTTATACTCCTGTTACTGCAAGATCCTCATCTTCTCCCTCTACAAACAGTGCTCAGGATGTTGCACATCTGGCATTTCCCACAAGACTCTAGGTGCTTGGGAAGATGCCCAAGGGCAACCCCCCTTTTGTCCTGGGTGAAAGAATTTTGACAATGGTCAAAAATCTGGGTCCCTTTAAAAGATGAGTTGGATAGAGCAATGAGTAGTTTTATACATTGCTGTAGGCCACACAGCAGGCACAAATGTTTATGCTCCTGTCAAAAAATACCCCTATCAGAAAATCCCTTTTAAAAGGAACCTGACTTTTGAGTACTGGTTGGCAAAATTCTTTGCTCCCATAAAAGGGGCTGGCTTGTCCTTTTCCACCTTTCTGAGCACCTAGAATTTCAGAAACTGTGGAAAAGTATGAAGAAACTGAGGTGAGGCAGGTGTCCCCCACCTCCAAAACCTCACTGTGAAGGGGGTAAACTACTGGCCGCCCTCTTTCATGAGGAAAGATAATTGAAGTTTGGGTTTCCCTGGACAACTCACCTTTTGGCACCTGTTAAGAGAGTGAGGTAAGGAATACACCATTTTGCAGCCTCTTTAGGCCAATGTCCATGAAGGATTCCTATTGCCCTTGGACAACAGGCACTCCCAGGACACTGTCCAGGTAAAGCTTGCCATTTTTGACCTGGACAAGTGTTCATGTGCAAGTCCAACTAAAAATTCATGGTAAGTTTGAAAACATACATGCAAATTCTTTCTCTTGGTTTTGTTTTGTTTTTAAGGTGATGAACCAGTTGCAGCCCCACCAATGTGCTGCTCAGACACTTTGAAGGGGCAGTCACTTGCTGTCAAATCAGAGATTGCAAAAGCGATCTTCATGGGAGGAGGGGGTAAAAGTGGAAAAATAGTCACAGCATGTACAAAAGGATTCATGATCACAGCAGGGAAGAGGAGATGAAGTGGCATGCTATGGAGTTCCTTGGGCTATCTGTGGGATGACCAAGGGAAGGAAGGGGGAACAGTCCATGGTGAACCTGACCATTGGTTTGGTGCATTGTGGGTTGTTTCAAGAACATTCTAGAAGGTTGAAATGCCTTTTAGGCCAAGGGCCAAATTTAATTTCAGTCTCCTCTGTGAAGAATTGTTCTAGTTAAGAAAGCCAATTTCTTCACTTTTGTTAGTGGAAAACAAGCAGTGGTGATGCCTGCAACAGAAATGGAAAGTTTCTGTTGAAGACACTCACAGGAAATGTGTGTAATGGCTTGTACAAATCACAGATACATTAGGTGTTAGCTCTATATGTGCTGCTCTAAATGTCAGTAATCCAAATGTCACTTCAGTGCAGAGTGAGACTCATGAAAGGCAGAAGGTTCGCCTGAGAACAGGAGAGGCTTTGCCATAAATTATTTTCATGACCTTCTGGTAACAAAGTTAAAACTACAGCTCTCTTATTACAGCAATTTCCCCTGCATACAAGCTTGTTTAATATCTCTCTGTTCTGTTCCTACATTCTGATTGCTTCTGCTCACTGACATTTTGGAGACCTGTTGTCTACTTTCTTGATTATCATCTCGCATTCCAATTTCATGCTCTTGCTTCCATCATTGGTTAATCCTGACTGCTGACCTTCCCTTGATAAACAGCACAGCTCAACATCCAAATAACAATCAGCACTTCAAAGCTGAGAAGTAGCTGCATGTACTTAGTCTTCTTAATTCATGCACTCCCTGCTTGGTTACCAGAATGGTTAGAGTCTGTACAATTCTGCTCAGCTGTCAATGCCTCATAGTTTAGCAATAAAGTGTGTGGAGAACCTGAGCTGCACTGTGCAACAGAATTACACAGATAGAAATAGAGCCTTGAAGAAAACACACATAAAAATATACATTGCAGAGAGAAGAGGAATCAGACGGGGATGTGGATGTCATTTATTTGTTTCTTTAATTTATTTATTATAGTTATATCTCACCTTTCTTCCTTCAAGGCATTCAAGGTGGCATAAATAATTAGTATTTGATTTATACCCTCCCTAAGGAAATGGTGTTGAAGGTGGGCAAGTATAAAAACTGACATTTAAAATATTTTTAAATTAAAACTTAGTTAAAATAATTATAAAGCAAATATATTAAAACACAATTATGAGCAGATTATGTCTTCAGCCATCTCCATTCGTAGAAACCACAATAGCAGTAAAAACAGTGTTGCTGACAATGGAATGTGGTTATAAACCTTTAGCTTCATTCAATAGCCAATGTTGTCTCGGTTTCCTTGGATTTGTCCCATAGTTTTCATGTAAAATGGTTTTATTTGCCCTTCTGATTTCATGGTATGCCAGTGAATATTGTGCCATTTGACATGTGTGAATGTGTTGACCGCCCAGGCATGTATCTGTAAGCACTTACCTCAAATGACATATGGGAGGAAAATTACTCTTGGCCATTCTTCAGAGGAGACCATCTTTGCTTTTATAGTGTGTTAATGTTAGAACCATGGCTGGCCTGAGTCAGTTTGAAGCTTGAGGTGGAACAGCAAATGGCACCGTGTCACTGAAGCGGTATGCTAACTGAGGCCAGTCCGGTTTCTTTAGCACCTGATCCCACAGGCACACTTCCCCTTCCCTGGCAGTCAAAGTACAATATTAATAGATTAATTAACACTTACCTGTCCTTTCATGATGCCCAATTCAGATGCTTAATTCTGCTTAATGAAAAGACTGGTTTTGCATTATATTCACTAAGTTAATGCTTGGTGGCTAAGACAAGCATCATAGGAATTGCTCGGAGAGCACTCCAGTCCAGATGCCTGCAGCTCTTTGAACTTTGAGGGCTATGGGCATCCTTTTCAGGGTGAAAGGAGTGCAGAGGCCTTCTTCATGGTCCTCCTGTCCTGCCAGTGTTAGCCATCTAAGTGTTGTGCCTTGGAGTGGAGGCAAAGGAGACTGGGCCCTGTTGGGCATCATGGTGGTGTCAGGATATCTTGCATTCTTGGTTTATGAATGTCCCATAAATCTCCATCTTTTCTGATGCTCAAACTGAGTGCTGTTGCTTATGTGGCCAAAGTGGCAACAGCCACACACAAGAAGGAGGCAGTGGCAAATTTGGGGG